CCCCTCCCTGTGCCTGAGTCTGCCTTTTATTTCACTAGAGCTTCACAAGTCACGGCCCACGTCATGATCATGACTTGCTTGTTCTGCCCATGACTCTATAAACGATGTTGTCCCTTCAAACCGAAAACCAAGAGTTACGGTCGTGAGCTAGGAGTCATGAGCATGACCATGACTTGAAGGGTCCGCCCGTGACTTACACTTGAAGCTTTTGTTTCCCCGTATTTGAGTCACGGGTTGGCAATGGATATCATTGTTGGGGCTCAGAAGTCATGGTTGTCTTCTCCATTTGATCCAAAAGTTGCCCAAGGACTTCTTTCATAAAATGGGCTTGAAATACCACAAATAGACACAACCTAGCATAAAATCAACTTGTTGCTACAACAAATATATCCCAAACGGTCCAAAAATAAGTGAAAAACATGTGCAAATACCATGTTATCACCTATGTTAGTATTATAAGCAAGACCATAGTAGCACATAATAGATGATATAAGCATAGAATGCTTAAGGCATCAAATAACGAAAGCATCAAACGATATAAACATAGAGTGACTAAGGCGTCTAATTCTATAAGCATCGAATGATATAAGCATATAATGACCAAAACATCTCATTAAATCATAGAAATTAGATGCATGAAGCACAGAAGAATTCACATCCCTAAACAATACATGCTTAGTTAGCTATAAGAGATGGAGAAGACATCAATGATGATGATGAATGCATCCTCACCTTGCTCTGGCACAACTTCAACTGTTATTATGTGTAAAAGAGTGTCTAAAAACTATGAACTAAACCCTGTTTTATTGTACTTAAGTGAAAGGAATTTCTAGTTTTTTTACACCTAAAATTCGGACAAAAGCTTCATTGTAAGAGTAGGACTCGGGCTCTCTGTCTTGGGGACGAAGCAATGAATATTCTAGAAGATTTCATTGAACTTGGGCTTAGCATCGTCCTCCTGGCATTGACCACTGCTGCTTGTTTTCTTTCTCCAATGGGCTTCTTGGCTCACAAGTAACATCTCCATGGACTTTGCCGGCGACTTGATGGGTTAGGTCTGGCGGAAGCCCAATGGCTGTTGGACCCACGATAGATTCTTTCGTCTGCTTGATTGTGTTTTACCTTGAAAACTACAAAATCATACTAAAAATACATAAAATGATACTAAAACACAACCTAAATTTATTATAAGTATATTGATCAAATACTTATGAAATCCATATAAAATATAGTAAAATGTAATAAATATGTATAAGAAAATTATATAAATATGGTAAGTGGTAAAAACAAGAATTTGAGCATCTAACTTTTCAACAATATGAGGAAAGGGGCGAGATGAGAGTTGAGCAGAGAACTTAATTTTTTTATTAGAACATGTACATTGTACGCAAATTTTATGTATAAAAATATTATGTACATAAGTTTTCTTTGCACAAATTTTAATGTACAAGAATTCACTTTCATGTACAACAGGTACATAATTGATTGTACATATTATAACAACATATATGAAAGACGATCCGAGTATTCGCCATTAGGGAGGAATTTCTCGCTGGCGACTCTAACATTTCTTCTTTTCCAACAAATTCCTTCAACACTCCCGGACATGGTTGTGTTAGAAGTGTAGGTACTATTTTGTAAATGTACATAATATTGTCGTGTAAGGAGTTAGGGCTGCGGGTCGGCCAAGTATATATCACTACAAAAAAAATGACTTTTGCCAAGGGTTCCATAGCAAAGGTTCTGTAACCCTTGCTAATTTTTTCGGAATATTCAGTAGCAACTTTTTTTTGAAACGGTTCTGTAACCCTTGCTAACTCTTAAACCAAATTTCACCAGACGCGAGAACCCCCTATTTTCCCTTTTACATTTTTCGGTAGCAAAGCTTCTTTCCAAGAGTTCCATAACCCTTGCTAAGATTTGAACCAAATTTCAGCCCCTGTTCCATTTCTCGGTACGAGCAGACCCCTTGTTTCCCTTTTGGTTCTCTTTTAGTTTATCAATTCAAAATATAAATAACAACAAAGCTAATAAAGGTAAATAACGATTCCTCTCTCCGGCTGTCTCCAGCTGAAGGGCGATCGCGATCTTCCTCGCTCACTCCGCCGTCGATTCTCCAATCTTACTCGCTCACTCCGACCGGCGACTCTCCAATCGTACTCGCTCTCTTCGACCGTTGGTTCTCCGGTCTCCATCGCTCACTCCGGCGTTCGGTCTCCGATCTTCCTTGCTCGATTAGGTCTCCGTCGCTCGCTCCGGTTGAAAGGTGTCTTCTGTCTCCCTCCCTCGATTGCTCTCTCTCCCTGGCTCGCTCTCTTCTGTCCTCACTTGCGCTCTCCCTCTCTCGCGCGAGCGAGCTCGTGTTAGTTAGGTTACAGATGGAATCTCTTAGGGTTTGAATCATACGACAATCGTTGTGCTGGTTTTATTAAATCTCTGTTTTAGTAGTTGCTTAGAAAAATGTGATTTGTCTTCATTTTCCTTGAGCTGTAGTATTCTTACTGTTGTTGGTAGGCCCTTGCTCTCAGTATATAGTAAGTTTCATGCATTAACAAGATTTCTGCAAAAAAAGGAAGGCAAGATCCACCTAAGCTAGTTTCTCAACGTGGTTCCATTATTGCCTATGGACGTGTGATGATCACTCCTTATCCCCAGAGATTAATGACTTCTGCCTAATGTTCATAAGCTCTTAATTTTACCTTAACTATCTGAAATTATCCCATAAGTTGTTTTAACTGTCATGTTTCTCTTGTGTGGAAAAGGTAATTAAAATGGGCAGTAAGAAAGTGCATGGCAGTAGATACAGAGCAATGAACTGAAAGAGACATAATTTGCTAGGAAGTTGTGTCAAAGCTATTTGTGATTGTTCATTTTCAAGGTTTTGTGTGATATAATGTTCTGAATTTGTCTTCCTGCTGTTGTTTTCATGACTACAGATGGTTTCAAGTTCAAGGAATCTAAGAAATTTGAGAATTGTTACTGAATCTGACGCTCAAGAGGGCTTTCAGCATGGACATTCATCGTCTCAACATGAGGAAGGGTCTGCTAGCACAGGTACTATATGGAATACAAAAACTTGTTGTGCTAGCATAGAAACCACTTTTTATTTATTGAACTTTGGTGGTCTAGAGAGTGCTTGTTCCTAGAATGGTTGAGTTAATTTCCTTTCCTTTCCTTACTAGCTAGCTTACTTACACAGTTACACCTCTTCTTTTCTTTACCCTTTGTGTTTAGTTCTTAATATGTTTCTAGTTTCAGAGGTTAATTGGGCATTTTGTAAACCTGCGGATGATGAGGCTTGCTTCCTTTAATTTGTACCATATACAAAAGCAATGAAGGAATCATCATATATTGCGTAAAATGAACATATCCTTTTAATCATTAGGGGGGGAATCAAACAACAACCTTAGCGTAGCTTTTTGAAGAAAGTTACTCACTTCCACTAGCTATGGTGTGAAAATCTGAAGTTCTAGTCTCCCTATGGTTGTTTTCAATGCTGTCAAAGCCGAGCCGGAGTATGACCCGGTAACGTGAACGGCTCGGTTATTAGTGGTCCAGCCGGCCTTAGACCGTTTAAAAACCGTTTGAGAACCGGTACCTCTGTTCATGAAGGATTGGGGAATTAAGTCCAGTAGAGCTTGGTGTTGTAAATGATCATACAGGAGACAAAGGGGGAAATTAGGTAGACAATTTAAAGAAAAGATAGTAAGTGTAGCTGTGGCTTGAACAAAAGAAGAAGAAAAATACATCAAACCCTATTCAATCCATGGCTTTCTTTTACCCTTCATGAATCGGAATTTTAATTTAATAACAAGGATTGAAGTTTGAATCAGTGACCACATGAGAGACTTGAACATATATAGATCTTCAGATTGAAAATCGACAATACAATTGCTAGGCTAAGTCTTAGTTTCCTTTTAAAGATGAGGTTATAGCTTACAACAACCGACCTCTAGCCGGCAAGAAGACGAGGCCGGATCCGGCCGAGAAGTTAGACGGAGCGGACGGAGAGGGAAGCAACAGAGTCGCCGGAGAGGAAAGCAACAGAGTCGCCGGACCGAAGAGGGAAGCAACAGAGTCGCCGGAGAGGGAAGCTACGGGAGACGGCGGGATCGCCGCAGGAGGAAGAATGACGTTGTGCTGGCGACGAGGAGGAACGGCGGGATCGCCGCAGGAGGAAGAAGAACGACGAGGAGGAACGGCGCTGAGGAAAGGCGACGAGGAGGAGCGGCGCTGCCTCTTCTCCACGAAGAAGATAGAAGAATGAAAATAAAAAAATTAGGGTTCTGCTTCTGCAGCCCGACCCCGACCCCCTTTAGTTTTCCAAAAAAATTTTTAATTAAATCAACCGGTCGAATTAAAAAACCGGACGACCGGCTCGAGCGGTTCGAGCGGTTAACCGCTTCGGCCGCTCGCCGGCCGCCCCAAAGAACCAGTCCGGCTAAATAGCTCGTCCGAGCCGGTTTTGTGCCCGGTTGGCGGTTTTGGCGGCTCGGCCGGCCGGCTCGGCTCGGTTTTCACAGCACTGGTTGTTTTATAGCAGGAAACAGTCTGTTTCATGTATTAATTAGCTGAGACCATGATTCTATATTTGTCACCATTTTGTTTGTGAATGAACTTCCTCCCTGTTTCTGAATTGCAATATGAAAGTGGAACCTTTGTGCTAGTTGTTATTGTGGGTCAAAAGCTCGTTTTCTGTGCCTTTTGCTTCTCTTGTATTTGATGGGATGGAGAATGAAGTAATTGTGGGGATGAATGAGACTGGAAAAACCTTGAAAGAGGTGAATTGAGGAGAAAGTAGTGGTTGTGGTAATACTGGTGAAAATGGGCCTGCTGTTATAACTTTGCCTGAAGGAGGTAGTTCCTCTGTAGATAGCATATCTATTGATGTTGGAGTTAAAACTAAGGCAAATTCTAAATGAATGTCTTAGCAAAGTCTTAATTAATTTGCCATTTGGTGTCAGGGGAAAATGACAGAAATCAGAAAACACGAGGAAAAACGAGGGTGCAAGATGTATGGAACATGGATGCAAGTGAAAGGATCGAATTGGAGATTGACGAATTTGGAGTTCCGTGTGGTGGCAAGCCATCTCTTTTTGCATCCTTTCTTGGGACGATTGCAAAGAACAACACCTTGACTCCACTGTCGATAGAGCATTGGAAAAGAAGAGAGTTCAAACCATTTCACCGGCAAATACTGAAATCACCAAGGTAAAACTTCAGTTATGACCTATTTAATTATGCTGTTTTTGATGATTGAGGGGGGAGGGGGGGGGGGTAATTCTGGAAGCTTGTGTGTTTATGACTGAATGCCATAGGTCTTATTTTTGGAGTTGAGGGTGTCTTCTGTCTTCGTTATCTGGTCCTCGTTTGGAGTTGATGTGCTACCCTAAGCCCCCCTTCCTTCTATTGTTGTATCGTGTCCACATTAAGTTGGTTACATACATGTTTTGGAGTTGATGGGAGGTTTTATTTCTATCCAAATCATGCAACCAAACCTAACAGAGCACTTCTGTTTTTATCTTCCATAAGTGTGAGTATCATGTTTCAGTAATGATATTAGGTATCTACTGCTTAACATTACATTGTGGAGTATGCTGACTCATGAGCTGAGTGCTTGAGCTTGAGTCTATTCTGTAACATCACATTCTGGGTTTCTTTATTTCTTTATTTTATTTTATGAGCAGGGTGCCACTAGTGCTCCTACTCCATCAATGGGATCTCGAGCTTCGTGATCAAATGTTGTATGAAGCATTTTGGAAATGGTCGATGGTAAAGAACACCATGTAAAGAACACCATTTTGGATTATGAATCATATTATATTATGATTCATGGATATATGGTATGAATTTAGTCATGTAAAGAGCACCATTTTGGGTTCTTTTGAGTATGCTTGAATGTTCATGGTGATTAGTATTTAGTCATGTAAAGAACACCATTTTAGATTATGAATCATATTATATTATGATTAATGGGTATATGGTATGAGTTTTAGTAACAAACTTGGTTCTGGATTTGTTTTAATGACCAGGGTTTGCAACCAAGCTTTTGTCGCGAATCTTGTTGCCTCTCTTTAGTGACGACTTTTAGCGACCATTTTGATTTCGACACAAATATTTTTTAGCTTTAGTCACAAACTGTGCAAGGGTTTAAACCCTTGCAAGTAGTGTATCTTCAGCAATTTTATATAAAGTTACAAAGGGCCTGTAGCAAGGGTCGAAACCCTTGCTAGAATGTAGGAACGAATTATGCGAAGGTTATAACCGATGGTACGAGCAACTCACGCTTGAATTTTTCACATACGTGTAGCAAGGGTTTAAAACCCTTGCTACAAACCGCTGCAAGGGGACTTGCACCAAGGGTCGCTTATAACCCTTGCTACACATAGCAGGGGCGGCTTTGCCAAGGGTCCGTCCAAGGGTTGGCTAAACACTTGCTACATCATGTGGCAGGGGTTAAAACCCTTGCTACGAAGGAAAATAACCCTTGCCATAGGGAACTTTTTTTTGTAGTGTATAGTTCATGTTGATGGCCGACCTAGGTAACACGTACGTGAATAAGATTGAACTCTGCCTTGTGCCGTGGACTAGGTCTTGACGATACCTGTCAGAAAACCACGTAAATATGGTGCCTCGCATTCTCTTGTACTTGTATTTGTGTTATTACCAGGTTATAGCCTCGAGATCATTTTGTTGTAGCTTTGACAAGAACCGATTGCAGGTGGCAAGCGTTGCGATTTCGTCCGATCAATCAATCGTAGTCTATTTGTTTTTTCTGCTATCAAGTCGGCTATTCACTGCTATCAATGCTGCCACATGAGAGAGAGAAGTGACGGGAAAGCTAGGAGGCGGCGTCAAACACTACAAGAGTGTTAAGGGTATTCAAACAGAGTGGTTACAGTGGTAATTGTTTTAATCAACAATATTAAGTTAATTTGGATAATTAGTTTGGTTTGGTTAAAATTTTTAGTTTGTTTGGTTTATGTGGTTTGATTTGATTTCAGACATTGCTAACTAACAAAACCAATTAAGAAATTCGCATATATCTAATATATTATATAGTCATACTTAATACTTTGTATGACCACCCAAGGTTCATGTGTTCCTCCCTTTTGGACCCAAAAATAGTAAAGTTCATTATTGTTCTTATACTATTTTTGTTATGGACACCTAATTGAGAAAAACCTCATAAATTATATTGGATGACAACGTGAAATGGAAGACCTTTTTCATCCTCTGATAATTGTTAAAAACTAATTAAGACAATTCGCACAGACACTCCATTCATAAACCTCATATCATTGGCATATATTTGTTAGGTGGATACTTCTAATGATAACTGTATTAGTTTCATGTATTTATGTTGAGGATTAACTATGTATAGGTTATTATGTTTTAGTCCTTGTATAAATTACGGATTGATGCATTAACAAGATATTTTTTCCGATGAATGGTGGGTTTTATTCATCATAAGATCAAGAATACAAAGTTACACTAAGTAACCAAACTTAACCAGTCATATAGGCTAAGCAAGTACATACATCAACTATTGCCCTAACTACACAAGATCACTCAAACTTACTGAAACCATAAAGGGTTTCTTGCTGCAGCTTCTGCAAATCGATGATCCCCTGCTAACTTTGCCTCCACCACTTGTTGCGTTTTCTGAGCCAAACCTACTTGTGAAAGAGACTTTTTACCATACAACCTCTTGCAGCGCTCGTGCCATGCTTCACTAAGTAGTAAACACCACAATATTCTCCCAACCAAGTTCTTACCTAGCCTCCTGACTGTAGTCTGAGTTGTAGTGTGGAAATTTGAAATTAAAGAAAACTACCACAATGGACAGAATACAATCCCCCAGAGTTCTTGTACATAGAGACAAGAGAAGAAAATATGATATTTTGACTCCGGAGCTGATTGACACAGAGGACATGAGTCATTAACCTCCGGGCACACTTTTTAACTTTATCCAAAGTGGTGATCCTGTCACTGAGAATGAGCCAATTAAGCAATGAATATTTGGGAATCAGAGGCCCTTTCCATACTAAGCTGGACTAAGATATCATTTGCTGCCTAGGTCGAATACTTTCCCAGAACTTGTTAATACTGAAACATGTCATTAGAGATCCATACCATTCAACCCCATGATCAGTCTTCACTAGATACGTGCTAACAAGAGGTATAAGTTTGAGGATTTTATTCCAAACTCATGAACCAGTGGCCTGAGTTTCCCAGATGCTAAGATTCCTCAATCTGTACTCCTTCAACCACGCAATCCAAAGAGTCTTCTGGTCAATGAGAGAAGCCCATATATGTCAAATTAAACATGATTGGTTCCAAGACAACAAGTCCTTGAAACCTAGCCCTCCTTCTTGTTTTGGCAGAGCCACATGTTTCCATGCTACTTTAGCTTTTTTTCCCTTGCACCGAATTCCCTCATAAGAACTTAGAGCACATGTTTTCAACCTTCTTCACCACTTTTTTTGGGAGTTGAATGACATTCATCCATAACTGATGACACTTGCTAGGACAGCTACTGTTAACTGAAGCTTACCTGTGTATGTGAGGATTTTTGGGGCCATCCTTTAATTTGGCTAGTAATTGTATCCACTAAAGCACAACAGTCCTCAGACATTAGCTTCCTTGCATTCAGTGGAATCCCCAGATAGCGTACTGGGAGACAGCCTTCTTCGAATCTTGAAAACCTAGCAAGTTCTTCTCTTGTTTCAATAGTCACTCCAGCATTGAATATTTCACTTTTCGAAGGGTTACATCTTAAACCACAAACTAAGTAAAACTTTTTCAGAATCTCAGCAACTGTAAGGAGATAAAGGAAGTACTGCTCTTGCTACTGCCCTGTTTAACATGCAACTAAGAAGATAAGGAAGTAATGCAGCGAAACAAAGGTGGGTTAAACCTATTCTAAGGCATTGAGGATGATAAAGAAATACTGCTCTTGCTACTGCCCTTGGTGAATATCAGCAGCGAAACAAAGGTGGGTTAAACCTATTCTAAGGCATTGAGGATGATAAGGAAGTACTGCTCTTGCTACTGCCCTGTTTAACATGCAACTAAGAACCTTTGTACTTATAGCAAAAAGGTAAGGAGATAAAGGGCAACCTTGTTTAAGCCCCCTTTTTAGCTAGAAAGTTCCCCACTAAGCATCCATTTATGCAGACTGTGAAGCTAGCAGATTCAAGACAACCCTTTACCCACTTGACAGACAATTCTGGAAGCCCCATAACAGTCATTATACTATATAGGAAACTCCAATCCACACTATCAAAAGCTTTCATTATGTCAATTTTAAGAGCACAACGAGGAGAGACATTCTTCCTTTTATACCACTTAACCATTTCATGGACAAGAATAATATTGTCTAAAATTAGCTCCCCTTTAACAAAAGTTGTCTGGTTAGGACTAATTATCTATGGCATGAATTTCTTCAGACGATTCGCTAGGAGTTTGGAGATGCACTTATAGATGAAATTACAACAGGATATAGCTCTGGATAGCTTCATAAAACTAGCATTGGGAACTTTAGGGGTGAGGGTGAGGATAGTGCAGTTTACCTCTCTTCACAATGTGTCTGTAGTAAAGAAATCCTTAATAGCTTGAGTAACTAATTTGCCAACCAAGTTCCAATTGTCCTGAAAAAACTCTGCAGAGAATCCATCAGGACCAGGGGCTTTGCCTCTTTTCATCTTATGGACCACCTTGCTGACTTCATCAGCAATAATAGAGAAGAGGTATCAGAAGGAAGATGGTGGAAAAGAAGGTTTCTTAGAGTATCCACTGTCACATGCTTCAATGAAGGATTAGGCACCCCCAAAAGATTGTGATAGAACCCCACAGCTTCATGTCCAATGTCATCCAAATTATCTAGGACTCTGCCATCTTGTGTAACTATATGGGTGATAGAACTTCTTGAATAGTTCTGACCATGCTATGAAAAAATTGTGTGCTAGAATCACCACTGTTAACCCACACATGCCTTGATTTCTGCTGGAGGGACTATTCTTCAGCCTTCTTCAGTTCAAGAAGCTAGATCATACACCTCTTCGTAGCATGGAAAACCGAGGAGTCAGGGCGCTCCAACACTTCTTTTTTAACCAAATCTAGCTCTAATTGTGCTGGCTTTACTTTCTCATGGATCTCTGAATAATGCTCCTTGTTAAGTTTCTTGAGTCTCACCTTATTTTCTCTAAGCTTGATATAAAGCTGCTGCATGGCAGAACCCAGAACAGGACAACTCTATCCCTCTTTTACCAAGTTTACTACCGAGGATGGGATTTCCAGAAACTAAAATATTTGAAGGCCTTTGGTAAGGATTTCTGACATGAGTTTGTACACAGACAAAGACCACAATGATCAGAAAGACCCTGGTAAGGTATCCGACTGAGCTTCTGGGAAATAGAGTAAGTCAACCCTCAGACACAAGCACCCTATCCAGCCTTTTGACAATGGGGTTACCTTCCTGCTTGTTAGCCCAGGCGAACCAAGGTCCTACTACTTTGTGCTCAAGCAACTGCATCTCCTCAATCCAACTACTGAAATTCCTAGCACTTACCCCAATGCCACTGGAGTAGAAGACTCCCTACAATTCAGGATTGAATTAAAAACCCCACTACTAGCCAAGGAATAGCTGTGTGTATTTTCTGCTTAAGATCTTGATACATGGCTTCTCTCTGACTGACGTCATTAGATGCATATACAAAGGTAAT